ATTAAAATTTGCATTTATGATGGATTTTATTTTGATGGGTTTTGAAAATGAGGAAGAAAGGGTAGGGTAGGGCAGAGGAAACAGAAGAGGGGGGAGGGGGGGTGGTGTGTTGTTTGTCGTGTGTAATTTAACGGTTTATTAATTTGTCATGAGGGGGGGCAGTTTAGAGAGGAAAGAGAAACAGAGGGTGAAAATGAAATGCATGAATCCGTGGCGTTGAAATGAATAGGAAAGAAGCCCAGCACGTGATGCATGGGGGGGGATTGAGGGAATGCACTCAAAAGCCCAAAACAGACAGTAGCCTTGGTTTAGCATGGAGAAGACTGACTAAATTTAACGTTTTAACATCAAGTTGGCAATGCATTCAAATTTCATAATTATTCATTGTCGGGTAACTGAGGGATTCAAATTTCATATGAGATTCCATGCAAACAAATTAAACGGTTTTGGAATTGTGATGTGTTTTGTGCCTATACCTTTTATGTTGTTCAAAAAAATAACTGAAGGATCATGTTTTGTTAGTGGTAATAATTTTGTGGTGTTTTTAGTTAAATTATAAAAATAAGTTAAATTTAATTTATTTTAAAAAATTAAAAATAGTTAAGTTGAATGGTTAATAATTTTATACTAAATTAAGGAAGGAATAAGAAAAATGTATTTTTTTTAAAATTTTTTAGAGGGAATAAGTATTTCTTAATTATATGTTAATTTAAAAGAAAAATTAAATATTAAGATTTAGTTATTTATAGTTATTTCTAGGTTTACAAAGAATTTTTTTTTAATTTTAGCTTATTTTTATCTTTGAAATATCCATCATTAACAACCAAACTAGTCCCCCGTGGAAAATTTTGTTGTAGAATAAGGCTACCTATTAGGGTGTGGATATGGTTACTAATTTATTTATTAAAACCATTAAAATTGTGTTCAAAAACATCAATTTTATTTAATTTGATTGTTTAAAATTATTAATAATTAATAAAATAACTTATATTTATTACTTAATAAATT